AAATATGGTGAATTTTTCTTTTTAAGCCAGTTCTCGATGGTCACATAAATGTGACTCACACCTTAATAAAGAAATGAATGTGTCGGCAGTTTCCCTCCTACTCTGCCTACAGAGGTAATTAACAAGATGTTGTAGATGTTGCTGAATGTGACTTCGTAGGTGCAAACAATGAGAGCCAGCACCATGGGTGGGAACCAAGAAGGGACTTAAGTGTTGCAGATCTTAACATCATCGCACCTGACTTATAGGTGCCTACACAGTCAAGGAACAATGCAGAGATCCACAAAGCCAAGTTAGGGGCCACAAGTGTCTATACAATTAGTAGGGAGAGATAGTACCTAAGAATACAATCCACCAAAGTCAACACAGTAGGCAGGGAGCCATCTTAGCTCTCCAATGGAACATGCTGATAAGAGGAATAGTATCCTCTGAAGAAGATGTGCCTAAATCCAATTTACAAGAAAATGGTGAGCTTTGCTTAGCAGTCCACAAATGGGCTCTCTCCTTCCAATGCCAGCTACAACAATGCTATGTGAACCCCTGTTCTCACTTTCAGGTGACATTGTAATTTAGTAGCAGGCAGCATTTTCTCCACTAAACAAACTCGTTTGTCAATGATTGGCTGAACAGGAAGTAAGATTGATTTGACTTGTAGGTGCTAAAAGTTTTACTTTGTTTTGGTTTTAAATGCACTTTTGAAAAAAAACAATTCTAGATTTGTAAGTAGCTCTTTCACAATAAAATGATTACAGTACTGTACTTATATGAGGTGAACTGAAAATACTGTTTGTTTTGTTTTTCTTTTTTACAATGCAAATATTTGTAGTAATATAAATTGAGCACTGTACCTTGATTTCAATACACAGAATACAATATATTTGAAAATATAGAAAAGCATCCAAGACATTTATAACAACGGAATACCAATTGAAATTTATTATTTAAGAGTGAGATTAAAACTGATTAATTTTAAAAATCAAGTTAACTTGTTTTGAGTTAATTGCTTCAGTTAATGGTGATTAATTGAAACCCCTAGACTACATCTACACTGCCCTCTCTTGCACAAGAAAATATGCAAATGAGGTGAAGCAGTGAATATCGCCGTGCCTCATTTACATACTTAATGAGCTGCCATTTTTGTGCAAGGGGCTTTTGCGCAAAAAGAAGTCATCTACATGGCTCCTTTTTGCGCAAAACACCCTCTCGTGCAAGAGCCATTCTGCCACTTTTTATCACCGCTTTGCCTCATTTGCATATTTTCTTGTGCAAGAGAGGGCAGTGTAGATGTAGTCCAAGTGTTTATCCAGAGTAGAACTATCATTGGGCCAGAGAGTGAAAATGACTATATGGTTGGGGCAAACATCTGAGAGCTGGTGTGCCTTAGGTAAGGTCCCCCGGCTTCTACCACATTTCAGTTAGTACAGCTCCACTAGGGAAGTTTTCAATAGGAGAGACAGGTGGAGTTCCTCCTCTTTTCCCCTGAAAATATCCCATAGCTCTCACTGATTCGATCACGGCTATAAGAGATGGGAGAACCCTGTTCAAATCCTTCTTCCCCTGTTGGCAGGGGCAGATGACTGTTTTGCAGGGCCCCGGGCAGCATAATTCCACGGGGCCCCCCCTTTGCCACGGTGCATGCGCCGTGACACCATGCGCATGCGCGGTGGTGCCATGGCGCATGCGTGGGGCTTTTTTAAGTGCGGGGCCCAGGGTGGCCGCCCCGTTCGCCCTGCCCTATATCCGCCCCTGCCTGTTGGCACTGGTGGGGAGTATTGAACTACCTGCATCTCCCACATACCAGGTTAACAATTGCTATAAGGTGGGACCCAATCTACTAGGCTCCCTCTGAGCAGGCCTACTGCTAAATTAGATAGCTAAAAGCCTGCCTTCCCTGGTGGGAAGGTGGGGCTTAGTGGGAGAGATAGGTGCCTCGATGTCTCAGGCTAAAGGGGTAGTGATCAATGGCTCCATGTCTAATTGGCAGTTGGTATCAAGCAGAGTGCCTCAGGGATTAGCCTTGGGGCCACTTTTGTTCAACATCTTCATTAATGATCTGGATTAGCAATGGGTAACCTAGGAGACTGAATGGGTCATATGAGTGGCCCTTCTTTATCTTAATGGGCTGCAAGACTGTTGTAACCACAATGGTCTTCTGGGATAGGGTACCCTTGCAAACTGCACTTGTGTGCCTACAATTTGTGGGTTGTGCTGACTGAACGCTAGCAGCACTTTGATTGGATGCAGAGGGAGTGAACGGCTCTCACAGTCAATGTTGCATGCAGGGAAGACACACCTCACTTTAAATGCCCTTGCTTTACACTTTGTCACTTTAGTAACACCAACAGAAAAAACCTCACACCTGTGCAGATGGAAATCAGTGGAACCGGGCAATCTTGTGGGCAATAATAAACAAAATGTATCATTGCTAACATAGAACCCCAATGGAATGCAGGTTACTCAACACTGATGTGGATGATGGGCGGGATTTCACCCCAAGTAAGTTTATAGACAACACTCAGCAGTGTG